TCATCTCCTACATTTTATCAGTCTCTTGACCTTTATGGCATAGGTTTTTAGTTTTGATGGTGTCCAGTGACTTGGATTTCATTGTTTTGTGGTAGGATTCAAACCCAGAGCCTGACATACATTAAGTAAGTGTCCTGCCACTGACCTGCACCCCAGCCCTCTTGTCTTCCCTTTCCACTTGTGCTTCTGATGTCATATCTAAGAAAGATGGCCTCATTCAAGGCATATTTTCTTCTCAGAGCCTTGTGTTTGGACACCACCAGATGGTCCATAGGCTTGTCTGTACAACATTTTCTTGGTTGATGACTGATGAGTGGGTGGTGTTGGGAAGAGTCCATTGTAGGTGGTGCCATCCCTGGGCTGATGGTCCTGGGCTGTATAAGAAAGCAGACTTAGCAAGCCATGAGGAACTAGCCAGTAAGTGGTGTTCATCCATGGCCTCTTCATCAGCTCCTGCCTCCAGGTTTTCACCTTGAGTTTTCTTAAAGATGGACTGTGATTGGGATGTGAAAGCCAAATCAACCCTTTTCCCCTCAGGTTACTTTTGGTTGTGTTTTATTGCAGCAGTAGAAAGTAAACTAAAACACATGTAGACTTTTAGTGTATTGTAACTTAATTTTTATATATGCTGTAAGGGTCAAACTTTTTGCTTTGAGACAATCTCACTATATAGCCCTTGACTGGCCAGCACTTACCATGTGACCAGGCTGACCTCAAACTCACATGGATCCATTCGCCTCTGCCTCCTGAGTGCTGGGATTAAATGTGTGCACCACTGCACCTGGCTTCAAACTCATTATTTACATATGGAAGTCCAGCTGGTATGTTTAAAACCATTAGCAAAAACACAGGAAAATGGTCTATTGGACCTTGATGACATGAATCCCCAATGAATCCCCACTGAATCTTTGCTGAGAGACACATAGGTGTCTCCAGTGAGCACTTATTTGAAAGTACCCTTAACCACAGAAGGGCCAGTTCTTCAGTCTCATCCAATGTTCACTGAGCACCTGTTCTGCAAGACTCAAATTATCTGGATCTCATAGAGATCCAGATACCATAAAGGTCTCGCACAGCGTATCACCCAGGACCAGGCAGGGGGCCGGGCTGGTGGGGTTGGTCTTGTGTGACTGGATTGAGAAGCCTCAGTTAGTGAAGCTCTCTCTGGAAGTGTCTATGAGAGCATTTCAGGGACATCAGACTAGGAGGGTTAATCCTCTGATGGGGTCATAACATGACCATACTAAGGATGTGGAAAAGTGGGAGGCAGGTCCTCGATGGAAGAAGTAGCTCACTGAGGGCGTGTCCTTGGACTGTGTCTTCTCCCTACCTGCCCAGTTTCCCTCTCTTGGCTTCCTGTCCATTGTGGAGACACTTCCTTTCTCCACCACAGCACATGGCCTGAGCAACAGTGGGATGAAAACACCAGCTAGAATCTTTAATTTATTCTCACAAAGATTTTGGTCATAGAGACAGAAACTGGCTACTACTGCAGGCTTCTTGAAGGGTGATGATGGAATTTGAACTTGAATAGGTGTGGTGAGGGATTTGACAGTCATTGTCTAGGGGTAATCACATTCTAAGGCAGAGGGCATAGCCACTGCAAAGAGCATCAGACAGGCCTGTGTGAAGTGCAAGGAGGTCAATGGCTGAAGCAGAGGTAGGGATGGGCCATAGAAGGCCCGGTCACCTGGAATCTGGTTTGACACCATGGGGACTTTGCAAAGGAGCTGGAATAAGTCAGTTGGAGTGGGGGTTTCTGAGCTGCAACTGTAACCTGAGCTGGGCTCATCAGTATGCTCCCAGGTGAAAATGGATTGTGGGAGGACAAGAGTACAAAAGAGGTGTCTGGAATCATCTAGGCAAGAGAGGGGAGAGTGGTTGGATCCCAGTTGCAATATGGAAGGTTCTAGAAGGACTTTCACATAGCGATAACCTTGACAACTAGATGGAGGTGACAGAGACAGGAGTCAGGGGTGACTGTAGTAACCTGGATCCAACCACCAGAAGATTAGCATCACTATTAGTTACCATGGAGCCCACTGGGGAAGCAGTCTTGGGAATACAGGGAGGCAAGGGTTCAGCTCGGGGCAATTCAACCCGAAAATTCTTTTCAACTTCCAAATGGAGGCACTGGATAGACAGCTGGAAAATGGAAGGCCAGGAAGAATACTCACAATGAGACAGCCAGAGTGAGAGGGTAGACAGGAAGCCAAGGGTGCACCTGGAGCTTGTGACATTAAAAGACAGGGCTGGAAAAAGCAAGCCAGGACAGAGTTCAGAGTGGTTTGCGGGTCTATTTCCAGTTCATCAACTGCTTGAAAACATTACCCTTAGTATGTTTTCAGCTTCCCTCCCTTCCTTCCTCCCTCCCTTCCTCCTTCCCTCCCTCCCACCATCTACTATATACTAGGACAACTGATCTTACACAGGAGAGAAAGAAAATGGCCACTAATGAAACAGTGTAGACACAGTAACAACCTGAGCTCGGCTTTGTCAGCCACACCAAACTATATACACTACAGGCTTCTGATGGTAACCCACCACAGAAGAGTCTACAGCCATCCTTACCTTCTTCTCATGTTTAATTACTACTACCTGGTCACAAAGTTAAAATCACTTTTGCTCTTTTTCTTTAATTTTATCTTTATTCATGTGTATGTGTGTTGTGGTCTTGGACCTAAGAAGAGGGTTTTGATTCCCTGGGGCTGGAGTTACGGATGGTTGTGAGCTGCCAGGTATGGGTGTAGGAACTGAACTGGGATCCTCTGGAAGAACAGCCAGTGCTCTTAACTGCTGAGCCAGCCCCTTGTTTTCTTGATACAGGATCTCACTATGGACCCTACCTTGGCCCTAAATTTGTAATTCTCCTGCCTCAGCCTCCCACGTCCTAAATCCACTGAACTGCAGAAAAGCGGTTGCAGAATGTTGGTGGAAACTATCCGGTGTCCACTGTCCTCCAAAGCCACAGCCACTGCAGCAAGCCCCGTCTCACCATGGGGTCTGATGAGGGGAAAGCTAAGACAGGAATCCACTGATCCCGGGACCGGCCTACCTAGGTCAAACTTTTTTGGTCTATAAACCTCTTTTTGTTTCTTGTTTCATCACTCAGACTGACCTCCGACTCCCGCCTCAGTCTCCAGGGAAGCTCCAGAGGACGCTCTGCTGTGATGGAGGACTGCTGAGCTTTTTACTGCCTTTTTGGTTTTGGTTTTTGACCAGACTGGCCTCCAGCTCGCAGAGACCTGCTTCCCTCTGCTTCCCATGTGCTGGGATTACAGGTGTGCACCACCACGCTGTGCGCACACTCAGATTGATCCTGTTTTTTTAATATATTTTGAAATTTTAAAATCATTCACAAAAGTGCTAAATTTTAGTCAGGATAGTTTATTTGGGGGCAGCAAAACTCATGGAAATTATTATAATTCAATTTGCAAATAATCCACAAGTCTTTTATTGTGGTTGTTTGATGAGGCAGGGTGTCATGTATGCTGTCCTCAAACTTGACTTGTGCCAAGGGATAACCTTGGACTCCTGCTGCTCTTCTTGTCTCCACCTCCTAAGTGCTGGGATTACAGGCCTGTATCACCATGCCTAACTTAAGTATATTTTTTGATTGGGGTAATGCTGTCCTGTCTTAGTCTATGTGGGCTGCTATTACAATACAGTCAGTTGGGAAGCTTGTGAATAATAAAAACTTCTTGTTTTCAGTCCTGGAGGCTGTGAAGTTCATGATCAAGGTGTCAACAGGTTGGTGTCCAGTGAAGCCTGTATCCTCACAGTTTTGTGGCATAATATAGAAGGGACTGAGTCTCCCTCAGGCCTCACTTTTATAAAGGCACTAATCCCATTCCTCAGGGCTCTGCTGCCTTAGCTAACCACCTCCTAGTCTTCTCTCCCTTACAGTTCTCCCTCTCAGATGAGGGATTCAACCACTACCTTCTAATACCATCAGCTCCTGGTGAGGGGTTTCCAGAGACATAATCATTCAGACCACAGTGCTTTGCCATGCCATATTCAGAACGTACAATCACTTCCTGGGTGGACTTCCCAGTCTTGCTTAGCCCACTTTAAACATCCTCATTTTTTTTTGTTTCTTTTTTTTTTTTTTTTTTTTTTTTTTTTTTTTTTTTTTTTGTGTGT